CTGCCACACCCTCCCGAGTAATGGGGATTACAGGCACCCGCCATCATGCCTGGCTAATTTTTGTATTTTTAGTAGAGATAGGGTTTTGCCATGTTGGTCAGGCTAGGCTGGTCCCAAACTCCTGACTTCAAGTGATCCACCCACTTCAGCTTCCCAAAGTGCTGGAATTACAGGCATGAGCCACCATACCTGGCCTCTAGTAATTCTTATTGGATGTTGGACTTAAATTTTACATTGCTGAGTACTGGATATTATTGTATTCCTTTAAAGATTACCTGTACTGTAGCAGAAAGTTATTTACAGGTTATCTTAATCTTTTCCAGACTTGCTTTTAAGGTTTTCTGGCAGGGAGTTTATCTGGAGTAGCCTTACTCTAGGTCTGGTTTAGGCTCCCTATTAAAGTTTGACTTATCTGAGGTGGCTACTGAATTCTCCATGTATTCAGCAAAGTTTCTTCACTCTAGTTAGTGGGAACCTGATTCAGTCCCAATCCTGTGCAAGCTTTGAGAGTTACTTGGCTTACAGTGTCCCAATAATTGCTCTTTCCCAGCACTTTGTTCCATCTCATAAAGTTTCACCCTTTGCATCCACAAATTGATAGTCAAAGTCTCAAAAGGACCTCTATATAGATAATCTGGATCCCTTTCAATGTAAAGCTCCCTTCTGTCCACTATTAATGATCTCTGTCTCCGCTCAGTAAGACCACCAGACTCTATTTGGGTTCCTTCTTCCTGAGCCACTGCCAGAAAATTGCTTCCAGGAAGAAAGCCAGAGCAATTGTAGGATTCATCTTATTTTATTCCTTTCTCTTGAACATCATAGTGCTGCACTGCCTATTGTTCAATATCCGCGAATGGTTGTTTCTCTTTTATCTAGTCATCTAGGTTTTATAATGGCAGTTGGGGAAGAATGCAGACTTCTAGTAGTCACCTCTTAAGGGCCAAAGTCTTACATTTAAACTGTCTTAACAGGGATTATATCCATTCATATACTCTACATTTTTTCTGTGAACAAATAGGACCAAGATCGATAGCACACACTGAGTTGGACTTAAGTTTTCCAACCAGGTACTAAGAGTAGTTTAACTTGCAGTAAATTTGGCAGATTTTATCTTCAGGGATAACTGCATTTAACTTCTGAATCCTTTTATCCTCAGGTTCCTGCAGTCTCTGTTCTTTCTATCAAATCTTTTTCTCAGAAAGCCTATAACATTTTAGAAGTGATCAAACCTTAGCAGAAGAAAATGAAGCTCCAGTGCTGATAAATTGCAGCAGATGGTAGAGACTTTGCAGCAGGCGAGGAAGCCATCTGGTGGGATCATTCCACACAGTTGCCTACTTGTAGACCCAGTGACAGTCCTGATTTAAAGCAAATGAATTTTTTTCCTTCTCTTCTCAAATAAAAGCACACCTTTGCTTGAGTTGAGATCTGCTTCAGCTGAGGGCTTTCCTGTTTCTCAGTAATAAGTTTGAGCACTTGAATTTCACAAAAATTTGTAAATTGTGTAAGTGTTGTGACCCACCTTCACCCAGAAGTTGTGCCATCTAAGTTGCTGGAAGCCATGTGCAAGCCTCCAAAGTTAACTGGACATTGTGTCTGTGCCTGTGTGTGTGACCAGGGAACTTCTATTGGGCTAATGTTCTGTTCTTGCCAGAGCTTCACAGAAGCAATCTGCAAATGCGTCATGCCAGTGTCCATGTGTAGAACCATCAGGGCCACTTGCACCATTCAATATTGCATTATATAAACAAATGGCCCTTCAGAATTGCAGCATTTAACTCACTGATTGAACCAGACTGCGGGTTTAAATTATCTCTTTCTCCATATGGAGCCATGGCTTAAATTAGGCTGTTTATATCCTTGAGGAAAGTTATTATAGCTCCAGGAACACATGGCCAGATAAGAAGCATGCAAAAATCAGCCTGATGTAAGTCATGTGCTTATTTAAATTTTATCCATTCTTCAAGGTCAAAGTCAAATACCACTTTTTATGAGAAGTTGTGATGGGTAATTTTACATGTCAACTGAGTTAGGCTATAGTACTGAGTTATTTGATCAAGCACTGATCTAGATGTTGCTGTGAAGATATTTTGTAGCTGTGGTTAACATCTATGATCAATTGACTTTAAGTAAAGATTACCCTGAATAAGGCCGGTAGACCTCATCAAATCAGTTGAAGGCCTTAAGAGCAAAAACTGAGGTTTACCGAAGAAGAAATTCTGTCTCAAACCTGCAACATTAACTCCTCCTGAGTTTCCAGCCTGCCTGCCTGCCTACACTATGGATTTCAGACTTGCCAGCCCCCACATTGCACATTGCATGAGCCAATTTCTTATTTCTTAAAATAAGTCTCTGACTGTGTGTGTGTGTGTGTGTGTGTGTGTGTGTGTGCGCGCGTGCATGCATGCGTGTGCGTGTGTGTGTGTGTTGTACGCACATATAAAATAGAGTTTGTTCTCTGGAAAACCCTAACTGAAACAGAAGCCTTTTCTGACATCTCTAGACCAAGGTGATTCCCCCTTCCTCTGACTTAGCACTTAATTGTACACTACCTTTATTTTTACAATTTCATGACTTTTATCTCCAAATATTCATGGTATATATTTATAATATACCCATACTTGTTAAAGGAGACTAAACTGCTTTAATTAAGAAATTTAAAAGTACAGTGGCTTTGTTAAAAAATAGAATTTGCCCCTCTAAACATTCCAGAGGATGTGCAGTCCTGGCTGACAGGGTGGCTCTGCTCCACATGGTCAGAAAGCAACATAGGAACCATATTGTTGTTCTATCACCTCTAAGGATGTTGTCTTTATTTGATAATGGTCTCAAGTTTGTCTCTTTGTATTTGAGGGAGACAAATTTCCAAAGCCCTGTATATCCAAGTCCACTGGGCTACTGCCAGTTCCTCACACTCCATCTTTCAGCCTTCTTGGCAAGGCATCTGGAAAAGTATTTAAAAAGTACTTTTGTTGATTTACCTCCTGCTAACAATACTACAATTGTAATCATGTGTTTCTACCACAGACTTTGCCAACCCCAATGCATCGCACCTCTCATTACATGTGAATGATGGCTTCTGTTCTATTCTCTCACCTTCCAACTCCATGAAGTCCATGCCAGCTGGCTGGTTGCTAAGAAAACTAATTGATAGTTTCCAAGAAGGACCTCAAGGAAACCTCAGATTGGCCAAGGATCACTATAAGAAGTAAGAGCATCAATTTAGGATCCTTTTCATTTCACTTACCTTCCTCCAGTTGTTACAGCTTCATGAATCACACTAAGAACATATTATTTATTCTTTATTCCAGTTATCTCCCTAAAAGAAACCTAAGTAGGGTGAACATATGGATCATATAAGACAAGTAACGAAGCCATGGCAAACTCCAGTACTAAAGTCACTGGGCAGGGAAAGTCCTGAAGGAGTGATAGTGGGGACCACCTCTCTTCAAAATACTTTTCAGTGGGATAAATTCATTTACTAAGGCAGAAGTTCTCAAAATATGTGTGGTCCCTGGACCAGCAGCATAAGCATCATTGGGGAACTTGCTAGAATTACCAATTCTCAGGCCCCAACACTGTCCTGAGTTTGAGTCGTAAACTCAGGGAGTGGGGTCAAGCAATCTATGTTTTAACAAGCCCTCCAGGTGACTGACTCAAGCTAAAAAGTGTGAAAACTACTATACTTAACAAATCTTGGCAAACTTCATGCCATTCCATCTTCAGCAAAGGTCTTGGACATAACATCCAAACTGATTATTCCATTGTTTCATTCCAGACTCAGAAAAAAGCCACAGCCTCTGCTAGATTTTTGGCTGTACACACCACTGTCTCAGGGGATCTCTCTGTAACACATTAACTGGTCATCTTCTCTTATTGCCTTTGCTTCTCATTCCTGACCCAAGTCAGAGGTTGTCTGTCAGACTTGGTTTAAGCCTCTCTGGCCAAACACTGTATCTAATGAATGGATAAACAAAATGTAGTATATATGTACAACGAAATATTATTCAATCATAAAAGAAGTGCAGTTGTTATATGTTACCACACAAATGAACCTTGAAAACATGCTAAGTGAAAGAAACCAGACACAAAAGACCACATATTGTATGGTTCATTTAATGAAATGTCTGGAATAGACAAATAGATACAAAAAGTAGTTTAGTAGTTACCAAGGGATGAGGAAGGGGAGAATACAGACTAACTGCTAATAGGTATGGGGTTTCTTTCTGGGGTGATGGAAATGTTCTTGAAGTATGTAGCGGTGATAGTTGCTCACCATAGTCAATATACTGAAATAGACATGCAAAATGTTGAATTCCATGTTATATAAAGTATATATCTCAATTTTTACATGCTATAAAAGAAAAAAATGTTGTGTTAAATATTGTACTTGGGTTCAAAATATATGAGTCCTAGCAATTGCTGAACAGCAATCCATGTGAAAATAACGTGGGATTTTTAGTTAACTGGAGCCTAAACGAGATCATTTTGCAATCTGACTACTGAGAATGCTAAGTTGATCTTTGATTGCAATTGACAGTGTTCCAGTTAAGGAAGAAGGTAGTCATTCTTTCTGCTATGTTCACCAGAGTGAACCATTTCTAGGTCTTGGATTCAGTTATGAGCATTTAAGAATGTTTACAGAAGGCCGGGCTCGGTGGCTCAAGCCTGTAATCCCAGCACTTTGGGAGGCCGAGGCGGGTGGATCACGAGGTCAAGAGATCAAGACCATCCCGGTCAACATGGTGAAACCCCGTCTCTACTAAAAATACAAAAAATTAGCTGGGCATGGTGGTGCGTGCCTGTAATCCCAGCTACTCGGGAGGCTGAGGCAGGAGAATTGCCTGAACCCAGGAGGCGGAGGTTGCGGTGAGCCGAGATCGTGCCATTGCACTCCAGCCTGGGTAACATGAGTGAAACTCTGTCTCAAAAAAAAAAAAAAAAAAAGAATGTTTACAAAATTCAGCAGTAAAAAGAAATGAAGACATGCCACATGGCGCTGTGGCAGGCGGCAGGGCCTAGGTGGTTGAGGCAGCTGAGTAGCAGACATGCACACCACAAAGCGTGGTGATGGAACAGTAACTGGGCTTGTGAGAGGGCTCTATAGCATAAACTAGGAGACAAAATCCACGGATTCACCATAAACCAGGTGACATCTGGTCCTGAGCTGTTTCTGACTGCAATGAACCTCAGCCGTGATGACACAGGAGCCAGATATTTAAACCTGGCCAGAGAAGACACAAATAATCTGTTCAGCATGCAATTCTGCACTACTCCTATGGACAGCACCAGTGTTTCTCACATTCTTTAGCATACCATCCTTCGTGGGTCTCAGAAATATCCATGCAGAGACCCTTTCTTCAAAATGTTGAACTGGTCCCTATCCACTTTCATAAACCCCTCCACAGTGATTATACTCTGTATCCATTTTCCACACAAAATCCCAAGGACTTTCAGAATCTCATCTCAGTGTATTTGGATGCTGCCTTTTTCCCATGTTTACCAGAGCTGGATTTCTGGCAGGAAGGTCTGAGTGACCCCCAGATGCCCTTGGTCTTTAAAGGAGTCTGCTTTAATGATGTGAAGGGAGCGTTTACAGACAATGAGAGGATATTCTCCCATCACCTTCAGAAGAGACTTCTTCCAGACCACACTTAGTGGTCTCTGGGGGTGATCCATTGTGCATACTGGAGCTTACATGGGGGCAACTTAAGCAATTTCATGCCACTCACTATCACTTAAGCTATGCTAGGTTATTCACGCATGGTAATTTTCTGTTAGAACAGCATCTGAAACAAATTCATGAGGAAGCACTGAGCAAATTTCAGAAAATTGAACCGAGCACTGCAGTGGAATTCCAGATAACATGTAGCCCATATTCATTTTCTGCAGATCCCTCTAAACAAACAACCATCAGCATTAACTTCCTCTTACCAGACATCACCAACACAATTGAAGAATTCACACTAAGTCTTCTGTGTTCACTCTTGATTTCTGGGCCCAACTCTCTTTTACAAAGCCTTGATTGAATCTGGCCTTGGCACAGACTTTTCTCCTGATGTTGGATATAATGGCTACATAAGGGAGGCCTGCTTCAGAGTCGACCTCCAAGGGATTGTGGAGAAAGACTTTGAGACCATCAGGTGACTCATAGACAAAACAATTGATGAAGTAGTTGAGAAAAGATTTGAAGATGATCAAATTGAAGCTTTACTTCATAAAATTGAAATACAGATGAAACATCAGTCTACCAGCTTCATATTGACTCTGACATCATACATAGCTTCTTGCTGGAACCATGATGGGAACCCTGTGGAGCTCTTGAAGTGGGAAATCAGTTGGCTAACTTCAGACAGCGCCTGCAGAAAAATCCAAAATTTTTGCAAGAAAAAGTAAAACAGTATTTTAAGAATAATCAGCATAAGCTGACTTTATCAATGAGGCCGGATGACAAGGGTCATGAGAAGCAAGCACAGGTAGAAGCCACAGAGCTCAAGCAGAAGGTTGAGACTTTGTCCCCCAGAGACAGGCAGCAGGTCTACAAGAAAGGTTTAGAATTATGGAATCAACAAAGCAAACCTCAAAATGCGTCTTGTCTGCCAGTGTTGAAAGTTTCAGATATTGAGTCCTCTGTACCTATCAAGAAGTTGGAAGTGGTCCTGACAGTTGGAGATATCCCTGTTCAGTACTGCGCGCAGCCCACCAATGGTGTGGTATATTTCTGGGCCTTCTCCAGTCTGAACACGCTCCCTGAGGAGCTGAGACCCTATGTGCCCCTTTTCTGCAGCATCCTCACCAAGCTGGGCTGTGACCTTCTTGACTACCAGGAGCAGGCTCAGCAGATAGAACTGAAGACCAGAGGAATGACCGCTTCTCCCCATGTGCTCCCTGACAACTTGCATATGGATACCTACGAGCAGGGTGTGCTTTTCTCCTCTCTCTGCCTGGACCGAAACCTGACAGACAGATGCATTTATGGAGTGAAATATTTAACAACCCATGCTTTGAGGAAGAACACTTCAAAGTGCTGGTGAAGATGACTACATGCATTTCTCTTCCCTGAGGAAAGGGTATCTGCCTCACCATTGCTGAAGAGAGAGACGAGAGACTGACAGCCAAACAGAGCAATGGGTAAAATGGTCTCTAGTGACATGTTAGAAAGATTTTTGTACTTAATTAAAGATAACATGGCATTAAAAAAATATCATTCATCATGACCAAGTGGAATTTATCCCAGGAATGCAAGGATAGTTGAACACACACAAGTCTATGAATATGATACATCATACGTATCATAATGAAAGACGAAAACCATATGATCATTTCAACTGATACCAGAAAAGCATTTGTTAGTATTTAACATCTCTTAATGTTAAAAGAAAAACCTTAAAGAATTGGATATAGAAGGAACATACATCAACATAATAAAAGCCATATATAACAGACCGACAGCTATTATCATACTGAATGGGGAAAAATTGAAGGTCTTTTCTCTAAGATCGGAAACACAACAAGGATGCACACTTTTGTCACTGTTATTAAACATATTACTGGAAGTCCTAGTTAGAGCAATCAGAGAAGAGAAAGAAATGAAGGGTCTCCAAACTGGAAAGGAAGAAGTAAAATTATCCTTGTTTGAAAATGATATGATCCTATATTTTGAAAAAATCCTAAAGACTCCACACAGAGAGTCACAAAAAACCCTTCAGAAAATCAGTAAATCCAAGAGCTGGTTTTTCGAAAAGATCAACAAAATAGACAAACCACTAGACAGATTAATAAAAAAGAAAAGAGAGAATAACCAAATTGATACAATAAAAAACGATAAAGGGGATATCACCACAGATTCCACAGAAATTCAAACCATCATCAGAGATTATTACAAACAACTCTATGCACATAAACTAGTAAACCTGGAAGAAATGGATAAATTCCTGGACACTTGCCTCCTCCCAAGCCTAAACCTGGAAGAAGTTGAAACCCTGAATAGATCAATAACAAGGTCTGAAGTTGAGGTAGCAATTAAGAGCCTACCACCCAAAAAAAAACCCAGGTCCAGACAGGTTCACAGCCGAATTCTACCAGACATACAAAGAGGAGCTGGTACCATTCCTTCTGAAACTATTCCAAATAATCCAAAAAGAGGAAATCCTTCCCAAATCATTTTATGAGACAAACATCATCCTGATACCAAAGCCTGGCAGAGACTCAATAAGAAAAGAAAACTTCAGGCCAATATCCATGATGAACATAGAGGCAAAAATCTTCAATAAAACACTGGCAAGCCGATTGCAACAGCACATCAAAAAGCTTACCCACCATGATCAAGTAGGATTCATTCCAGGGATGCAAGGCTGGATCAACATACGCAAGACTATAAACGTAATTCACCAAATAAACAAAATCAAAGACAAAAACCACATGATTATTTCAATTGATGCAGAGAAGGCCTTTGACAAAATTCAACAGCCTTTTGTGCTAAAAACCCTCAATAGACTAGATATTGACGGAACGTATCTCAAAATAATAAAAGCTATTTATGACAAACCAACAGCCAATATCATACTGAATGGGCAAAAACTGGAAGCATTTCCTTCGAAATCTGGCACTAGACAAGGATGCCTTCTCTCACCATGCTTATTCAATATAGTACTGGAAGTTCTAGCCAGAGCAATCAGGCAAGAAAAAGAAATAAAGGGCATTCAAATAGGAAAGGAGGAAGGCAAATTGTCTCTATTTGCAGACGACATGATTGTATATCTAGAAGACCCCATCATCTCAGCCCCAAATTTCCTGAAACTGATAAGCAACTTCAGCAAAGTCTCACAATATAAAATCAATGTGTAAAAATCACAAGCATTCCTATACACCAATAACAGACTTAAAGAGAGCCAAATCAAGAATGAACTGCCATTCACAACTGCTACAAAGAGAATAAAATACCTAGGAATACAACTAACAAGGAACATAAAGGACCTCTTCAAGGAGAACTACAAGCCACTGCTCAACGAAATAAGAGAGGACACAGATGGAG